AGGACATGTGCTCAACTATGTTCATAGCAGCTTTGTTTGTCATAGCCAGAACCTGGAAACAACCTAAATGCCCCTCGATCGAAGAATGGATAAGGAAAATGTGGTATATTTACATGACGGAGTACTACCACAGCAGAAAAAAAATAACGACAGCTTGGATTTTGCATGCAAATGAATGGAGCTAGAAAACATTATTTTGAGTGAGGTCACCCAGACACAGAAAGACAGTTATCACATTTACTCACTCATAGGTGGTTTTTAAACATAAAGAAAAGAAAGCCAGCCTACAATCCACAATCCCAGAGAACTTAGACAACAATGAGGACACTAAGAGAGACTTACATAGATATAATCTACACGAGAAGTAGAAAGTATAAAAAGACAAGCTCTCCTGAGTAAATTGGGAACATGGGGATTTTGGGGGAGGGTTGAAGGGGAAAGGGGAAAGGCAGGGAGGGAAGCAGAGAAAAATTTAGAGCTCAATAAATATCAATAAAAAAAATTACAAAAAAAGGAAAAAATATTCAAATAAAAAAAAACAAACTAAGATGGTGGTGCAATTGAGGAAGAAACCTAATGTTGCCCCCTGGCTTCCACATACCTGCCTGGGAGTGCACACACATGTGCATGCGGGCACCAATCCCATTAGAGTCACTGAAAATGTCTTTAGATTTTCTTAGTAGGAAAAGATGCCTTTATTTAATTCTGCTAATTTCTCACCATTTTCTTAGTTCTGCTTTACATTTTAAATCTACAATCCTTTGGGGTTAATTTTTGTATAAGGGTTGAGGTTTAGGCCAAGTTTATTTTTAGTTGTTGCTTCATTGCCATTTGGATACCAAATATTTATTAAACAAAAAATTGTAATACATGAACTCTCAAGTAAAAAAAAAAAAAGCCAGGCGGTGGTGGCGCACACCTTTAATCCCAGCACTCGGGTGGCAGAGGCAGGTGAATCTCTGTGTGTTCGAGGCCAGCCTGGTCTACAAGAGCTAGTTCCAGGACATCTAGGACTGTTACACAGGGAAACTCTGTCTCAAAAAAAAAACCAAACTGAAAATGGGCAAGAAACACAGACATTCACCAAAGGGGCAATACTATGGCAAAAAGCCTATGAAAGATATTAGCATCTTTAGGCACCAAGGAAATGCCAACTAAAATCACTTTGAGATAGCCACACCTCTATTAAAATAACCAAAAATTTAAAAAGCAAGAACAAAACCAAAGTAATACGTTGTCCCACTCAATCTGTGGTCTACTGGGGCATGTGAAGGGTTAATCCACAGCAGCACATGAAATGAGTGTGATGTTATACTGTAATCCCCAAATCCATGAGGGAGAGACTGAAGGATCAAGAGTTCCAGGCCAGCCTGGACTACTTGAGACCTTATGGGGAATGTGTGTGGGGAGACAACAAATGAGAAAGTATCAAATAAATGAGAAAATGAATAAACTAAGCCCCCAGACAGCCTCCAACTGTGTAGGCCTGATGTGGGAAGTCCTTCTGTATATGTATTGTTTTTATTGGTTAAGGAATAAAGAAGCTGCTTGGGCCTATGACAGGGGAGAATAGAGTTAAGCAGAAAAACTAAACTAATTGGATAATAGGCCAAGCAGTGTTGTAATAATACAATTTCTGTGTGATTATTTCGGGTCTGGGCAGCCAGGAACAAGCAAGCAGCCTCCAAGTACATAGGCCCCAAAGAAACTACATCTGCCCATTTGTGGTGGTTTGAAAGAAAGAGGCTCCAGAGGGAGTGGCACTGTTAAGAGGTGTGACCTTGCTGGAGGAAGTGTGTCACTGTGGGGGTGGGCTTTGAGGTCTTTTTCACTCAAGCTTCCCTCAGGGTGACTATCAGTCAACTTCCAGTTGTCTACAAGATGTCGACCTCTCAGCTCCTTCAGCACAATGTCTGCTGCACGTCGTCATACACCTCATTGTGATGATAATGGACTGAACCTCTGAAGCTGTAAGTGAGCACCCCAATTAAATGCTTTTCTTATTAGAGTTACTATGGCCTTGGTGTTTCTTCACAGCAATAGAAACCCTAACTAAGAAGTTGGTACCAGGGACTGGGGTACTGCTGGGAGAGGCCTGACCATGTGTTTCTTTGGGGGGTTTGGACTTTGGGACTTTGGGCTATGAAAGCAGTGAAATGTTTTAAGCACTTCTTGATGAGCCATCCTAGTAGGAGCTTAGGAAACAGAAGTACCAATGGTTTCTTGCACTGTCAGGAGCACACTCAAGAGGTTTCAGAGAAGAATTTCAGTATGCTGCCTAGAGATCATTCCCATGATATTTTGATGAAGAAAGTGGCTGCCTTTTGCGCTTGTCGTAAGAGTCTGCCTAAGGCTAAAGTGGAAAGTTTTGGGTTAACTCTGTTGGCAGAAGAAATGTCAAAACAGCCTAATATAGATTCTGTCATGTGATTATTAGTGTTAACTCTAATAAAGATTTATAATGAAAAGGAGCAAGCTGAGCAGGGTAAATTACAAAAAGTAAATTTTGAGGAGAAAAAGAATATCAGAATGTGGAATGAAGCTAAATTCTGTGTTCAAGGATTAAGAAATGAAATAAAGGGAGTGGTGACCTCAGGGCAAGATCCCTTCCAGGTAAGTTTCCAACTTGTGGGATGAAACTAAACAAAAACTTAGAACCTGATATGATGGGACACACCTTTAATCCAAGCATTGGGAAAACAGAGGCTGGCAGATCTCTGAGTTTGAGGCCAGCCTGGTCTACAGGGCAAGTTTCAGGACATCCAAGCTTAGGCAGTGAAAGACAGAAAGCTGGTGAAGATATTAATGAAAGAGGGTTCATGTCCCAGTCCCAGTAAGCAACAGAACTTGGCAGCTCTGGCCATATGGTTCTGGCTTTAGAGTTAAGGATAGAAAAAAACATGTTATTGAGTTTGCCTCCTCACCTAAAGAAAGTCACTGAAGCCAGGCGTGTGTCACGGGTCCCCCTGAATGGAAGACTAGTAGAGAGGCCATTGTGTGAAGCTGTGAGGTTGGAATCTGGATTGCCTTGGAGAACCCAAGATGTTAGAGATGCCAGAGCCATGGGATAGCTGTGAGGAGAGCTGCTAACAGGGAGTGGAGCCAGCCCAAGAGAGAGAAGTGCGCTGCAGTCAGCAAAGCTGAACTGAGTTGGAGATCTGAAGAATGTGTTGATGTCAGACATGGAGATGCAGAGTTTGGAGTTTGCCCAGGTGGTTTTCCGTCTTACTTTGGTCCAGTATTTCCTCACTGTGTTCCCTTTCCTGCATTTTGAGATGGTAAGGTATATCCTGTTCCATTGTATGTTGGAAATATGTGACTTTTTGTTTACAGGACAATTACAGTTAAGAGATAGTTAAGAGATTGCCATGCAACTCAGAAGAGACTTTGGACTTTGAAACAAGCTTGAGACTATTATAGACTATTACACTATGGGGACTTTTGAAGTTGAACTGAATGCTTTTTTTTTTTTTTTTGAGACAGGGTTTCTCTGTAGTTTTGGAGCTAGCTCTTGCAGACCAGGCAGGCCTTGAACTCACAGCGATCCACCTGCCTCTGCCTCCAGAGTGCTAGGATTAAAGGTGTGTGCCACCACCACTAGGCTCTGAATGCATTTTTTGCATTGTGATATGGCTATAAACCTTTGGGGGCCCAGAGCGTGGAATGTGGTGGCTTCAAAGAAATTGGCCCCCAAAGGGAGTGTCCCTATGAAGAGGTGTGGGCTTGTTGGAGGAACTGTGTCACTGTGAGGGTCTCTTTTGCTCAGGGTTCCTTCTGTGTGGCTGCCAGTCGACTTCCTATTGCCCACAAGACTTAGGCTTCTCAGCTGCTCCAGCATCACATCTGCCTGCACGCAGCCGTGCTCCCCAGCATGATGATAACGGACTTAACCTCTGAAGCTGCAAGCGAGACCCCCATGAAATGTTTTTCTTATAAGAGTTGCCGTAGCTACAGTGTCTCTTCACAGCAATAAAAACCCTAAGACACCACACGATCCATTTCTAGTCTTTCCCGGCTATCTAGCCTTAGTAGTGAATGGCATTTCTTATACCAACTAACTGAGGATATAACTGACTTTAATAAAACTCAACTCAAACCATAGCCAAGTTTTGAGATCACCTTAGAGAAAAAAGGAAGTGACTTCCCCCTGCTTGGGAAGCCTCCCGTTCCCTTACCCAACTGCCACCACTCCCCATCTCCTGCCCCAGGATTGTCCAGCACAAAGCACATGTAGGAACCTCCTCCATATTTCTAGGGCTTATTCCCATTTTTATTTATTTGCTGCGTTTGGTGTGTGCGTGCGCGCGCGAGCATTTGTGTGCCAGGGCCTGCGCACACGCGGAGGTCAGAGGACAACTTGGAGCAGTCAGTTCTTTCCACCCTGTCATCAGGCTCACTGAGCCATCCCATCAGCCTCGCTTCTTAAATTCTATTTTGCTGGACTTCCAGGCCATCCCATACATTGGTTATCAGGGCTCCCTGTAATCTTAATTTTCCAAACCCTAAATTTGAGGCCCCAAGCAGAGGACCTGGGAGTACTCAGAGAGTTGCCTTTTAACGGATTAGGAGAAAGGACCCGAGTCAGGTAGGAGCTTCAACTGGGAGCTGTTCAGAAAGCGGGTGTAGGAAGCTGGCAGCACACCAGCAAAAGTCACAGAGGAACCTGGGGGAGGAGTATCAATCCCGCACCGGTTTCCGGAGGGGGACTCTGGGCAGAAACAGCAGTCCAACAGGTTGGTTGGGAGGATTCCGCTGTGGCATGATTGCGTCGCCCCAGCTTTGACTTTCGGCGGGAACAGCGTTTTGTGAGAGTCCCTCGGAGGCACCGGGAGCGCTCAGGCTGCACCGCACCGAGGGAAGAGGCTCTGGAGACCCGAGAACTGCTCCGGACTAGGGTGCATTCTCTGCTGGGCAGAAGACCGTAGTCCGGGAGCAGCGGGAGACTGATCCTACTGCAATTGTGCGTAGGACAGAGGGGACAATCGACCCCACGATCACAAGGGTGAGCCCGCAGGGTCGAGAGAGCTAGAAGCCACGGCTGGAGGAAGCGGGGAAAACCACAGAATCACAGATTGGACTTCCTGGAATTCAGGGGTGAGTTGGTTTCGATTCCCTGACTCTGTTGGAGGGGCTGTCTGTCTGCAAAGATCTTTGCTCGCCTTCTGTCAAAACAGGACGGAGCTCGAGGAACGGGGTTTGAGAAGAGGAAAAAGGTAGGGACCCTGCCCAGAGGTGCTGAGTAGGTAGGTACTCGATAGGACAATCTATTTCCAGGACAGACGATTCAGGTTTTTTGTTTTGTTTTGTTTTTTTTTCCTTTTTTTCTTTTTTGTTTTGTTTTTGTTTGTTTTTAGAGACAGGGTTTCCCTGTATAGTCCTGACCATCCTGGAACTTACTTTGTAGACCAGGTTGGCATTTAACTCACAGGAATCTGCCTGCCTCAGCCTCTGAGATTAAAGGCAGGCACTACCACCACCCTCACCCCCCACCCCAAACTGGATTCCAGTCTTTAACTATGAATGCCCACCTTCCTTTTCTAGGGCCCATTTCATGTAAGGATAAAGTAATCTGATGTAATGTTTGTAAAGGGATGTCTGTTTTTTAAACTGTTAATTTATTTATTAAGACAAGGTCTCACCGTGTAGCTATGGCTTCCCTGGAACTTACTGTGTAGTCCAGGCTGGCCTTGAATTCATAGAGACATCTCTCTGTGCCCCCCCAAGTACTGAATTTAAAGTTGTGTGCCCCCAAGCCCAGATATGTCTGATACTTTTTTAGTGGAGGATGGTCGGGCTTAGAGAAAGTTGTTATTACTACTTCCAGATTTTTCCCCTTTGCTCTCATACATCCAAGGAAAAGTAGTGAAGGCAATGTGTTCTGCATCTGGGAATGGCTGGGCCCTGAGATCTACTGATTTTCTTTAAGAGTGCCCTGACAGTCTGTAGCGATGGCTCAGATGTAAAGAGTACCCTGATGTTAACACCCGTGCCTCCTGCCCAGTTCAGTGGAATCCAGTGAGCAAGGAAAACAAAAGCCCGTGGATTGCCACGTACTTACTTTCAGTTTGACAATTTGGGTTCACTTTTTTTTTTTTTTTTTTTTGGATTTTCGAGACAGGGTTTCTCCGTAGCTTTTGGTTCCAGTCCTGGAACTAGCTCTTGTAGACCAGGCTGGCATCGAACTCACAGAGATCCACCTGCCTCTGCCTCCGGAGTGCTGGGATTAAAGGCATGCGCCACCACCGCCCGGCCCTGGGTTCACTTTTTGACTCATGTTTTAAAGGCCACACCCGGACTTTTACACTAGTGTTGGGGAGCCAAGCTCAGACCTTCAAGTTTGTTCAGCAAACACTTTATGGACTGAAAGGAAACACTCTTCGACTTCCTTGCAAAATTTAAAATCAGGAGGTCTGACGTGAAAAATCCAGATTCCTGGCTGTCAGGTGAAATTGAGAGACCCTTTGTCCTTGCAGAACAGCGGGTGTCCACCTGCTGAGTAACCTCTGCGTGTGTTTAGATGGAGCTGGAGTGGTTTCCTCGACCATGAACCCAAGGGCCAGTTTGGGCCTTTTTTCTCTACAGGATTTGAAGAGAGGATGTGAATGGCTGGACTCTTCCGTGTGTCTGAAACAGAGAGGTACCAGGATAATGAAGCCGAGGGTGGAGAGGTCTAGGCCATTCTGAGATACAGAGCAAGAGCCTGTCTCAAAACAAAACAAAAATGGAGAAGTGAAAGATAAACCGAAAGGCCACGTCACAGAAACTAAAAGGAAGCCTTTCAGGTTTATTTTTTTTTTTTTTAGATTTATCGTATTATTTCTTGTGTGTGAATGTTTTGCCTGTATGTGTGTGTATGCACACATGTGCACCATGGGCATGCCTGGTGCCTGCAGAGGTCAGAGAGGGCATTGAATTTCCTCTGAAAGAACAGCACGTGCTCTTACCCACTGAGGCACCTCTCTGGCCTCAGGAGTTTCTCTGCTCTTCTGCACACTCAGAGCCTTAGCCAAGGCTGGCCAAACACTCTACCATGGAGCTATAATCTCAGCTTTGGGTTTTTTGGAGACAGAAGGTAGCTGGGGCTGGCTGTAAACTTGTGGTCCTTCTGCTTCAGCCTCCTGGGTGCTGGGATTTCAGCAGCAGCACATCTGCCTAGAAGTATATACCCCTTTGTAGCACTGTTTCTAAGGCAACTCACGCCACTGGTTTGGGCTGCCTGCTTGGCCCCTGAAGGTATTTCTCATACTTCCAAAGAACATCTGTGCTAGGATAGGCTAGATAATATGACCAAAATACCCAAAAATATAATGGCTCCCATACAGCTGAAACTGCATCTTAAAACACACAGTTCATAGCAGAAATTTTGGCAACAATGGCAGCTTTCCTCCAAAAGCAACTATTCAGGAACCCAGGATCTTTTCCTTAGGGTACCAGTATCCCTGAAACCCTATCCTTGCAAGCCTGTCTCATCCTAAAGTAGCACAGATCCCATCCACTCACGACCCATAGTTAGGCCTCTCAGAGTAGCAAGAGGTTGAGGATATAGTGCTAGCTGACCAATACTTCCCAGTTCAAGCTCTATTACAAGGACAGAATAGATTTGACAGACGGCAAGCTCTCTCTGCCTTACGTGGTGGAGGCATCCCCTTTCTGGCACTGAGACCATAGATACCCTTGACCCTCAATTAGCTGAGTAATAAATACACCCAGGATTGTGGGATTTCAACCAATCTGTGGGTCTCTTCCAGGTATGGATAAATTGGGACAGATCATCTCCTTAGGCCAGCTCATCTATAAAAAGTGTGAAGAAATGAAACACTGCCAGAATCAGTGCCGGCGTCTAAAGGAGCGTGTGCATGGCTTGCTAGAGCCTCTCCAGAGCCTCCAGGCCCAAGGAACAAACAATCTGCCAAAGAACATAACTAAAACCCTGGACAAGTTTGAGACTGTCCTGCAGGAGGCTAGGCAGCAGATAGAAAAGTTCTGCAAGAAGTCCAGTATTTGGAAGTTTGTAACTGTGGGTAATGACAAGATACTCTTCCTTGAAGTAAATGAGAAGCTGAGAGATGTCTGGGAGCAGATGATGCTGTGGCTTCAGGTTGATCAACAGAGCTCTGCTTCAAAAGCATCCTGGCTGCAGGAAGATCAACAGGATGCGAGAGAGGATGAGTGAGTATTCCAAAGACCGGGAAAGAATAAATGGGTTTTGGGTGATGAAGTGGAGGAACAGATGGAACCAGGGAGCATCTTAGCCTCACTTTAATTTGTCCGAAGAACAATGGAGGAGTTTGAACAGTTGCATATACTTGTGACTGAGAAATCCTGCTGTATGATAGAGGCTAGTGAAATCTGGGGAAGTCTTTGTGGAGGAGGGGACACATTGTTACATGTTTATGAGTCCCCTTTGCTTCTCTGTTCACTCTTTGATGTAATATATGGAATTCTAATTCATATCTTACCATCTTGGCTTCTATGGTACTCTTTTTCTTGAAGTGAAAATTGTCCAGTAAAAAGAATTAAATCAACAAACTAAGGAAACGTGGATTGGGTACAGCATGCACGATACTGTTCTAAACCTTAGGGATAAACTCATGGAGTGTAAAGTCTGCTGATAGGAAGCTAATTTTCTCGGAAGCCCTTGAAAGTCACAAGGTAGAGTAATGATACACAAGAATTCAGAAAGAACGGACAAGACAGACATTTCCATGTACACCTTGACTAATCCATACAGAGACGAGATTGCTCTTGTGGCAGAATGTCAGGAACGAGACCTAGCTGAGCTATAATCTTTCAAGCCTCTACTTGCGGCACATCCACTAAAAATAGCCATCCATCTGATAACGCTCAACGTGAAGAGACAAAGGCATACGGTTCGTTCTCTATGTTGCTATGACTGTATACACCTACTACCTGGAAGTCAATAACTCAACCTACCTGAGAGTCAGAACGGAAGCAGGAACTGAGTTAGGAGACCACATTAGAGGGTAGATGAGTTAACAATAGCTAGAGCTATAATGGCTCCTCCGCTTGAACATCATGGAAAGCCAGGCTCTAAAGAAGTGAGGCACGGACTAGCCTGCATGTAGAGGGTGAGAGTTGAGCTTAGGCCACCAGGAGAGGAAAGATAAGGGAAACAAGGAAACAAATATGACCTTCTTGGACTTATGATGACCCAGTGATATGAGTCACAAACATGGTTAGCTAAGCATTAAAAGAGGTTTGTAGGAAAGGAAAGGAAACTGATACAAGATTAACTTTTTATCAGGCAAATTACAGGCGATGGCCACAGACAGCTGTTGATGTGTGCTATGAATATGTTTTATTACCATTGGTTATTAAAGAAACCGTGTGCTATGAATATGTTTTATTACCATTGGTGATTAAAGAAACTGTTTCAGCCAATGGCTTACTAGATAAAGCCAGACTGGAAGTTCAAACAGAGATATAGAGAGAAGGTAGGCAGAGTCAGAGAGACACCATATAGCTGCCAAAGGAGACAGATGCCGGAAAGCCAGAACCTTACCAGTAGGCCACACCCTCGTGGTGACTCACAAATTAATAGAAATGGGTTAATTTAAGATGTAAGGGTTAGCTAGGAATATGCATAAGCTATTGGCCAACCAGTGTTGCAATTAATATAGTTTCTGTGTGATTATTTTGGGTCTGGGTGGCCGGGAATGAACAAGCAGCCTCTGCCTACAAGCCATGATACGGCCTTTTATGAGATCACTAGGAGAGTTCCCACAATAGTATCACGAGACATAGCCTGGCCTAACTGTGTGCCAAGGGGCATGGAGGCATGAACTAGGCAGGACTATAAATGTATCCTAGAGCTACAAGGGTGGAGGGGGCTTATCAGGTCTGTCTGAGAGAAAAGATACTGGGGGGGGGGGCGGGAATGGCCTGAATTCTTTGATAGAGAAAGCACAGATCTATAACCCAATACTGAGAGTTGGGCAGAGAGAAAGGGAGCAAAGAGGTGAGCCTTGTAATGTCAGCTTGACACAACCTCCAGTCATCTGGGAAGAGAGACCTTCAACTGAGAAAATGCTCCATCATGTAGGCAAGTCTGTGAGGAATATTTTTTCACTAATGATTGATGTGGGAGCACCTAACGCACTGTGGGCAGTGTCACCCCTGGGTTGGTGGTGCTGGCCGTACAAGAAAGTAAGTGGAGCAAGTCATGGAAAGCACGCCAGTCAGTAAGCTGTGCTCCTCCGTGGTCTTCGCTGCAGTTCCTGCCTCTCGGTTCCTGCCTTGAGCTCCTTGCCCTGGCTTCTCTAGATGAGAGACTGTAATAGGTAAGCTAAAGAAGTGGAAGTTACTTCTGATCATGGCATTCATCACAGTAACAGTGCCAAGACCAGAACAGAAGCACACGTGGACACACCCTTTAGATGCTCAAGCTCAGAGGAGTAACTGTCCTATTGCTCTGATATGGGGGTGATGATCCATGCCCAGTCAAGTTGGCAGACCAACATCGAAGTGGGACAAGTGAGGAGAGTCTTAAGCAAATGAGTTCTTTTGTGTAATAAGAGAAACCAAGACATCTGTAATCCATTCAAATGCCCACCATCAAAGAGAGAGAATCAGGGATTGGAGAGGGCGGGCATATGGTAGTATAGAGAGGTTGGTTCAGCTAGAGGGCAGGACTGACTTCCAACCTTTCTAATCATGAGAAAATGCTGATCCACCCCTTCATGGTGGCAGGAATCATGTGGAAGCCATTAACCTGGAAGACAGGACTGACTTCCTGCTCGCCCTTTATGTTTCGGTATGGGTGATGCATTCACAGGGCACCACATACAAAAGATTTTTTTAAACATTTATTTATTTATTATGTATACAATATTCTGTTTGTGTGCATGTCTGCAGGCCAGAAGGGGGCACCAGACCTCATTACAGATGGTTGTGAGCCACCATGTGGTTGCGGGAATTGAACTCAGGACCTTTGGAAGAGCAGGCAATGCTCTCAACCACTGAGTCATCTCTCCAGCCTCCAAAAGATTTTTTAAAGGCCCAGAATAGCTGGGTATAGAAGTGTATGCCTTTAATCTTAGCATTTGGGAGGCAGAGGCAGGAGGAAATCCCTGGGAGTTCAAGACCATCCTGGTCTACATGATGAGTTTCAGGTCAGCCAGAGCTACATAGTGAGATCCTCTGGGGGTGGGGGCAGGCACGGGCAGAGAGGCCCAGCATAAAGAGTTAATCTTCCCCTCATCCTTGACCTCAGGGGACCTCTTTTACATCTCAGACACAGTCTGTATTATCTTTTTCCTGCTCTCTGGAGATTTACATGTATGTATTCTGATTCTTCTTCTCAATAGATAATCTTGAGTATTCTTCCAAATAAATTTCCATAGGTTTCTCTAGTATTCCTTGGTATATATGGACCAGATATATTGAACATGCAAATTATAGCCAATTGTTCACTGTTATAATTTCATAAATGAGCATCTTTGTGTGTGTTTCAGAATAACTTTAGGATATAGTCCCAGTAATGGAATTACATGGGTAATCACTGAGTTAAAGGCAATGATCAAAGAGATCCACACAGCCAGACTTCGGGGCATTTCCTCTGCATTTGATAATAGAAAGATGAGTATTAACGGTAGTATTTCCTGCCATATGATTATTTAGAGTTAAAATCTGACACCTTGGTGATTTTAATTAGCATTTTTGTTTTGATGCACATATACTTTTTGTTTAGGGCTTGTATTGTTAAGCACGTGCTGCCCCTTCTTCCTGCAGAACAGAAAATCTGCGAGCTCTCTTGATGAAGGTGAGCATTGACGTGGAAGAAATCAAGGAAACTCTGAAACAGTGTAAGTTGTCACATGCTCTGTTGCAGTGGATGCTCCCCAATTAGAAGTTATCTGTTTGCTAGGAACTCCAGCCTACTCTGCTCCTGCCCTGTTCTGTTTTCTCTGCTCACAGGTTTGGGGATATGGACAGGGATTTTTTTTTTTTAGCTTACTACTCTCAGGTCACATTCCATCACTAAGGGAAGTCAAGGCGAATTCAAAACAGGAATCTGGAGGCAGAAACTGAAGCAATGGAGAAACTGAAGTAATGGAGGAGTGCTGCCTACTGGTTTGCTCCTCATAGCTTGTTCAGCCTGCTTTCCTATGACACCTAAGACCACCAGTCCAGGAGTGGCACTACCCACAGTGAACTGGACCTTCCCACATCAATTGTCAATCAAGAAATTAGGCCAATATGGTATGGGCATTTCCTCAACTGAGGTTCCTTCTTTCAAAATGACTAGCTTGTGTCAAGTTGCTATAAACCTAGCTGGCCTTCGGATGAAAGAACAATTTGTCCAAGTCTATCTTGATGAACCAAAGTATTACCATTACTTGCAGGAGCATGGGTGAGAAGCTGCTTATGAAAGAATGATGATCTTGGGCACTTGAATGACCTAACCCACCCACCCCCCCACACACACACACACAAGTTACATGAGCAAGAACTTAGGAAGGCTGGATCGCTGGTCTCCTACAAGGGTCTCCTCTCACCCAGCAATGGTTTACTATGCAGAGACTGCTGTGAGCCCTGTACGTTTCTAGAACTTCCTCAGTCTTGTAAGTTTCCTATGAACTCCATGAACTTCTGAGGAAGGAAATGCATCAATCTAGGAGGGAACAGTCACACAACTGACAGCAGTATAGTTGCTGAGCTTGAACTGTCTCTCTATTTGATCTGAAAAGGCTGGACATAATGCCAGGTCCCTAGTGTTAAGCTGTGTGGCACCAGGAGTAAGGAGAACTCCAAGGTAAAAGAGGCTGGCGTTAAAACCAGAAAGACAGGCAAGATCGAAAAAGAAGGCTAGAGACATAGTTCAGTAATAGAACACTCACCAAGCACACACAAGTTCCTTGGTTCAATCACAGGCATCATAAGAAAAAGAAAAAAATAGATTGGAAGAGGTGGTCAATGAAGTATACACAAAACAATACTACTAACCTCACATGTGTCTCTACACGTACCGCAGACACAGAGGACCTTCTACCCAGAGTTGAGTCCACTGGAAGCTCTAGCCAGGACCAGTTTTGGTTCATGGTGTGGAGCACCACCACCCCCGTCACATCACAAAGAGGCCACTTCCCTGACTACACCTTTAGCACACTGACTTTTTGTCTCCTTCTGTCTCAGGCTCACTACAACCCCCACAGAAGATTCCACAGAAAAAAATCAAGGAGATTAAGAAGGAACATCTTACCAGCTCTCCATGGACTTTACTGAAGAAAAATGACCTCAGCACATTTTACAGAGGAGAGTATCACAGATCGCCAGTTACCATCAAAGTATTCAACAATCCCCAAGCCAGAAGTGTCAGGTTGGTAAGCTGTAGTTTATGACTCTCACACGTATCAACATTTATTCTCTGTAAGTTCCCAAGGAGAAAGCTTTATTTTCCCCATTATTAAATGGGGGAATCAGGCTCTAAAGGGTGAGATGACTTAATCTGTATTATTAAGAAACAGAGGCTATTGGACTGGACAATTGGTTCAATATAGGGCTTGTTGCTCTTACAGGGGACTCAGGTTCAGTTCTCAGCACCAACATCACAGCTCACAAACATCTGTAACTCCAATTCCAGGGGGTCTGACACCCTCTTCTAGCCCACAGATGCCAGGTACACAAATGATACAGACATATATGCAGGCAAAACACTTGTGCACACAAAAGGAAAAGAAACAGGCTAGCGTTGAGTAACTTTCTACCTCAGCTCTAGAACTTTCCCCCTTGTTCTCATGGATTTATGTATCATCCAGAATTTATAGTCTTTTCTGGACATAGTGGTGTCAGCCCTTAAAATCACAGCACACACGAGGCAGACACAGGCAATCCCAGTTCAAGGCCAGCCTGGTCTATATATAGTGAGTTCCAGACTAGACAGACATAGAGACCTTATCTCAAAACAACAACAACAAAATTTATTACCTCATAATCCTTCTTCTCCATTCTTCATCCCCCCCCTTTTTGGTGTGGTGCTGGGAATTCTACAGACAATGATTACAGTGTTTTATTCTTGTTTTCCTGTAAAATATACTCTTTCGTTATTCTGTTATACAGTATTGATTTCTCACAGGTGACAAAGTGGCATGTCTGTTGGCCACTTGCCTCACTTTCTTGACTCAGCATCATGAAACATGAAGTCCTTTCATTTGAAGTGAATCCATTTGATATCTCAGACCACATTTTGCCTATTTCCCATGATGTAAACCATCTGCTTCCAACTGAAAATAATGCCACCATACATAGCCCTTAATGAATGTATGGCAATTTTGAGGCACTGGGAGTTGAACCCTGAACTTCACACATGGAGGCAAACACTGCCACTGAACTATACACCCCAATACTTGTATAAGAATTTCTTGGGGCTGTAACTCCAGGATAGGAACTGTTGGATCATAGGCTCCACAATACCTAAGTTGGCTAAGTACTCCCAGGAAGCTTAGAGGGGTGGATATGGCTACACTCCACCTGTGCTGCCTGAGAATGCCTATGTTTCATGTACTGACTGATCCCTGGTGTTTCTAAATTTGCATTTTTTAAAACTTTATTTGCGCCCGGTGGTGGTGGGGCATGCCTTTAATCCCAGCACTCGGGAGGCAGAGACAGGCGGATCTCTGTGAGTTCGAGGCCAGCCTAGTCTACAAGAGCTAGTTCCAGGACAGGAACCAAAAACTACGGAGAAATCCTGTCTCGAAAAATTTAAAAAAAAAAAAACAACTTTATTTGCTTATAAAGAATTTGAGCCAGGCATGGTGGGGCATGCCTTTAATCCCAGCACTCGCGAGGCAGAGGCAGGTGGGTCTCTGTGGGAAAGCCATCCTGATCTGCAGCAGGAATTCCAGGACAGCCACATCTACCCAGAGAAACCCTATCTCAAAAAAAAATTGGTTTCATTGTGATTTTTTTGGGAAGGGTTCAAGATAGGGTTTCTTTGTACCTTTGGATTCTGTCCTGGAACTAGCTCTAGTAGACCAGGCTGGCCTTGAACTCACAGAGTTTGTTTTTCGAGAAAGAGTTTCTCTGTGTAGCCCTAGCTTTCCTGTCTCCTGTATAGACCAGGCTGGTCTAGGAATTACTGTATAAGTAAAAGAGTGCTGGGATTAAAAGTGTGTACCACCGCCGCCCTGCTTTCATTGTGACATTTTATTTTTTATATGTATGTTTGTGTAAGTACATCTGAATGAAGGTGCCCATGAAGGCCAGAGGTAGCAGATTCCCATAAAGCTGCAGTTACAAGTAATTGTGAGCCACCCTATGTGAGTGCTGGGAACCACTCAGTCCTCTGCAAGAGCAGGATGCACTTTTAACTGAGCCATCTCTCCATCCTCTCATTATGGCATTTTCAAATACAATTTGGGCCGGCCGGTGGTGGCACGTGCCTTTAATTCCAGCACTTAGGAGGCAGAGGTCAGTAATTTCTAGACCAGCCTGGTCTATACAGGAGACAGGACAGCCAGAGCTACACCGAGAAACTCTTTCTCAAAAAACAAAAACAAAACACAAATCAAATACGATTTGGTTTTCCCTATTTTGACTCCCTCTCTTGAACCCTCCTCTCCTCAGTAGCATCCCTTTCCAATTTGGTGTCACGTGACCTCTTGCCCCTTTCCTCTTCTCTCAACACCTCCGTCCACTATTTACATACATGTACACATTAGAAGTTAGGATCTGCATGTGACAGAGAACACATGATTTTTGTCTTCCTGTATCTCGCACAGAGGTGAGTGCACACCCACGTTTAATGCTGCCGCACTCACAGTAGCCATTTGACTTGCTTTTCTGTAAATTACCTCTTCATAGCTTCTGCCTTCACATTTGCAACTTCTGGGGGGTTTTTTCGCCTGTATTAAATGTTTGTGTTATTTTATGTGCATGGACAATTTTTCGACATGTATGTCTGTGTACCGCTTGCATGCCTGGTGTCTGAAAAGGCCAGAAGGTGATACTGAATCCCCTGGAGCTGGAGTCATGGGTGGTAGTGAGCCAACATGTGAATGCTGGGAATTGAACCCAGGTCTTCTGGAAGAAGAGTCAGTGCTCTTAACCTCTGAGACATCTCTCCAGTCCTCAGCTTTATTTTTTAAGTTTATGTGATATTATCAGTCTTTTTATGTGATATTATGCAGGGTCTAGTTTTCGTTTTATCCACAGAGTAAGTCAGTTTTCTCTGTATTGTCTACTAAATCACCCGTCCTTTTCCCTGATGATGGGCAGCACCACACTTATCGTATAAGTTTTTATATAAACATCAGTCTAGTTTCTATATCTCTGATCTGTCCCAAGGGTCAATTTATCTGTCTTTGCATCAGTGAACGTACTGATTGGGCCTTTGAGGAGGGGTTGGAGGAGTCTGTTGATATTATTACTAATTTGTCTTGTAGCCCTGGCTGGCCTGGAACTCACAAAGATCCTCCTGCCTCTGCCTTTGGAGAACTGGGGTTGATGGCATGCACCATCATGCTTGGCTTTGTTAAATTTATTCCTAAATTTCTTGCTATTTTTTACACTATTGTAAAAGAAATTATTCTCTTTTTTGTTTTCATATTTTTCATTGCTAGCACATTGAAATAGTCGATTTCTATATGCTTTGGTCCTGCTCTGCTTGCCTGACAGATCTTGGACAAATGTCGTTTTCTCTTGGAGCCTCACAGTGTGAAGTAGCAGACTGGGCTGAGTTAGTGGGTGCTGGGACCCTCTCTAATAACTGATGCCCACATTCCCAAGGCCATGTTCAGGAAGGGATTTTTGTTTATAAATTTTCAATTAATTTCCTTATTTTTGCTAATCAAGAACACACATCACAGGTTTTTTTTCAGGACATTTACTAAAATAAAATATGACTAGTAATAAAAACTCAACATCTTAATTTGCTATATAAGTCACAAAAATACAGTTCTATCAAATACCAGATAATACCAAATAATAGGATTAAGAAATACTATCTTTCTTGTGACAGACACGTAGGGAGTAATTCTGCATCTGGGAAGTTAGACTGGTAGCCAAGCCCATCAACGATTCTGGGATCCGACAGTGTCTCAAGCCCCTACTACACCACACATTCTCTGGGGGACCGTCAGAGTCCAAATGCTAATTTCTCCTCTCACTCTCCTAGTACAGTGAGGCACGCTTTCCACAACGAGATCACAACCATGAAGAAATTTGATTCTCCCAATGTCTTGCGTATATTTGGGATTTGCATTGATGAAACGGGTAAGGAGGCTTCTGGGATTGGTCAAGCTTTTGACTGCCTAGAAGATGCTGTCTGTGTTTTAATGTGTTACTCATATTTTTTTTTTGAGCTTTAAAGATAATTACAGATTGATAGGTGAGCATTTAAGAGGTTAGAAAGAGAGTTGTGCCATCTGGGTTAGGCATGGAGATCAGCCACATGGTGTACAAACAGTCACATGATGGGGAGGAAAACTTTAGAGACGGTAAGAAAAGCTCAGGTACCAGAGGAAGTGTTCCTCACCTCTGGCCAGCATTCTAAAGAAAGGCAAGAGCCAGGCCTTTGAAAGGCGGAAGGCCCCAGAGACTCAAGGTGGCACTGTGTTACATTCTAAGGGCAGCTCCGAGGGTGGCAGTGAGGGACAAAGAGACAGACTCTCTACTGGACAGACAGACGAGAGGGCCATGACTAAGAGACAGACTCCCTGGTTGGCAGACAGACAAGGAGAGGGGCCATGACTAAGTCAAAGAAGACAGACTCTGAAGATGGGCAGCTCCTTCCTCACTCTCCTGACCAGACTCGAGACCAAAGCCAAAAACAGAGACTTGGCAATAGGGCACATGTGACTTCACGCCACACCTCTCCAAACGCTGCTTTATACAACATTTGTGAGCGAGCAATCCTGTCTTTGTTCCAACTGACTCATCCCAAATTAGGAGAGGAAGACCCTTCAAAAACGTTAAAAACCCAGCCCAGGAGAAGAGACTGGATTTTCAGACTCCCGAGTCAACTGATTTACAGAGGAAAGGGTGTTTCTGTGTGCTTGCTCTCTCTACCTCCACCACACACACACACACACACACACACACACACACACACACCTGCCCTCTTTCTCTTTCTCACGCCTCATAAAAGCCATTCCTTACAGCTGACTCTGCCTGCTGTGTTTGAGATTTTTCCCCACTGCTACCTGTCTCAAGAGTTTTCCTGCCCTTTAATTCTCTGACAGAGAAAATAAACCCCATCAAGACCCCTCACTGGTAGCAGTGAGATTATTACCAATGTTCACTATTTCTGTTCTAGTTCTCCCTTCTCCTTTCAACTAACGGAGCTGTGTCTCCCCTTCCCTATCCATTGAGAACCCAGGGGTTGTTTGTTGAGATGCTAACCTAAGTCAAGGGTATGTTTTGTTTTCTTTCTTTTCTTTCCTTTTTTTTTTGTTTATTTTTAGACAAGTTCTACTTAAGTAGTAGACCTGGGACTGGTTCCATTGACCAGGGTGGATTTGAACTCACAGAAATCTGCCTGCCTCTGCCTCCAGAGTCTGAGCGCTGGGATCAATACAATGGCACACCACATCCAGCCCCTTAGCTTTTCATTGGTTTTTGGGGTTTTTTTTTTTTTTTGAAACAGGGTTTCTCTGTAGCTTTGGAGCCTGTTCTTTAACTGGCTCTTGTAGACCAGGCTGGCCTCGAACTCACAGAGATCCACCTGCCTCTGCCTCCCGAATGCTGGGATTAAAGGCATGTGCCATCACCACTTCCCGGCTAGCCCCTTAGTTTTTAATGTGACTTTAATTGCTTCTTATCCTTTAGCTAAAACTAAGGGTTACTATGGCTCCATTTCCTCTCGCAGCATGGAAGTCCCTGCTGTTCATTTTTGCTGTTGTTGCCTAGAGAGAGGACAGCAACATCTCCCTTCTGAAAACTACTCCATAGCCTCAATCCAACCTAATCTCTGTGTGGAAGGGACTGACTGGTGAAGAGTTTAGACCAGAAGTCAAAATCCCAGGTCAGAGGCTAGAAATGAAAGAAATAACTCCTCCAAGGAGAGTAAGTCCCCCCAGCCATCTCCCAAGAGAGTGTTATTTCAGTTTCCTTTAGACTGAAATGTTGTACTTTAAAGTCAAGTTGGTCTTAGGCTGGGGAAGAAATGAGGCTTGCTTTAGAGCGAATGTATCACTACAGGAAGAAGCTGAGAAGGGACTTGTGACTATAGGAGTCCTAAGTGAGGCTGGATCTTCACCCCTGTCTGCGTCTTTTCCTCTTTTCCTAGTGAAGCCCCCTGAATTCTCCATTGTCATGGAGTACTGTGAATTTGGAACCCTGAGGGAACTGCTGGATGAAGAAAAGGACCTCCCTCTGAGTGTGCGCATCTTCTTAGTCCTGGGAGCAGCCAGAGGCTTGTACAGGTACCAGAAGGGTTAAATAGGCACCTCAAAGAACTGGAGGAGTCGGGCTGGAGAGATGGCTAAGAGCACTGCCTGCCCTTCCAAAGGTCCTGAGTTCAGTTCCCAGCAGCCACATGGTGGCTCACAACCATCTGTAATGAGATCTGGTGCCCTCTTCTGGTGCACATGCAGACAGAATACCGAGAATACTGTATACATAATAAATAAATAGATTTAAAAAAAAGAACTGGAGGAGTCTAGCCAGGCAGTAGTGGGGTGCACCTGTAATCCCAGCACTGAGGACCACACTAATGCTCTCAGAGGTGATGGGAGGACGGGCCAGAAGCTCCAATTTCCCTTCCTTCCACTGTTTCACTGCAAACTCTGGTGCTGAGCAGGTGCCTTTTTCGAGGTTGCCCACAGAGAGCCACCCCCATGAAAGGCAGGGTACTAGCCAGCCTCATTATCCCACTACACACTGCTTATGCCAAGATCATTAATACACCCTACCTTTGGTTGTCATCAGGCTACACCATTCAGAAACATCCAACCAATTGCACAAAAACATCAGCAGTTCCAGCTTCCTGGTAGCTGAAGGCTACAACGTAAAGGTGAGCACATCCTCCAAGGTCTCCTTGAGTTGGTCAGAGCTTAGCTATGGTTGCTGCCTAGAAGAGGGTATTGCAGAAAGGCCGCGGCTTCTTATTTCTCTCGAACTGAGTGCACCTCTTCACCTGCTTATACAGCTTTCTGGGTGCCCACTACAGAACAAACTCTGCCCTTGCCTCCCACTCGGATGTGCTTACCTTCCTCCCACCCCAGAGCAGGGATGAGCAAAGAACCGTTTCTCTTAGACATTTAGACACCACTTCTCCATCACTGAACACCTACCAGGGCATCTGCTTATGATCAACTGGGCATTCAGAATCAGAGGATTGTCATGGGCCACACTTGTCATTTGAGGTGACTTACAAGGCTTCACAGGGAGCACACCTAGCTAGCAGCATCAACCCCTTCTCTCCAGTGGGGGCCCTCACATTCATCCAGGCTTTGCTCCTACCAGTGGCTAAAGGAGGCTCCCATAGGCTGGGTATGGAGCCATCCAGGTTTCGAAGTCTCATGACTTAAAATATTCAATGTCTCATAACTTTATAGACAAAACCTGCAAGGGACAAGCTAGTTCCTATGTATAATGGTTGCTACAAAGTACAGCATGCCTGTTAGGTATTTATGCTCCCCCAACCCCTACCCCAAAGCAATTTGTATACCAGCAATAATTTTTATAATTAGGTGACTAAGAAACATAGGTTGATGGTCTACCTGTATCAGTTTTTCAGGGGAACAGAGCCGATGGTTAGCTGAAAATCTACCATGACTTGTTTCATTTGCTCAGAGGAAGAAAGGGGTTTGTTAATTCGTTGTCCAAAACCCTAAAATTGTAAAGGAATGTTTGTCATTCATAGATACTTTCCTCTCTCTCTCTCTCTCTCTCTCTCTCTCTGTGTGTGTGTGTGTGTTGTTTGTTTGTTTTGTTTTTTGAGACAAGGTTTCTCTGTAGCTTTGGTGCCTGTCTCCCAAGTGCTGGGATTAAAGGCATGCACCACCACCACCGGGCTCTCTCTCTCTCTCTCTCTCTCTCTCTCTCTCTCTCTCTCTCTCTTTAATTTTTAATGATAGAAACAAATACAACTGAAACTAAAGCTGCTGACAGAACCCTATGATCTCTCCCATCTCTTGTCATTCCTCCAACTTGACTTTGAACTCCCATCTGGCCTTGAGTTTCAGAGCTGGGTTCCAGAAAATGTCCCTGTTGGTGACCCTTTTGTCCAAAGGGATATCTGTGGAGAGCCTTGAGGGCATGAGGTGATTGCAATCATAAACTTTCACCAGAGACTCAATCTGACCTCCTGGTGCTTTTCTTCTTGTCCATGACTGCTGTCACTCTGCCAGAGGCAGCTGTCAATCCCAGGCACCTGCGCATGGCTATGCCAGGGAGGGGGGCCAAGGTGCCGTCATCAACATTCTTTGCTATGGCAGCCTTATATCCATATTAGCATCCAGCCAGGATCAGTGCCTCTTTCCCAAGTTTTTTGAGTTTACTCATTGTCTTAGTTAAGGTTTCTGTTGCTGTGAAGAGACACTATGGACACACCAATGCTTACAAAGAAAAACATCTAATTAGGCGGCTTGTCATGGTGGGACTTGGCAGTGTGCAGACAGATATGGTGGAAGTAGCTGAGAGTTCTACATCTTGCAGGCAACAGGAAATGAGCTGAGATGCTGGATGTAACTTGAGCATATATGAGACCTCAAAACTTGCCTCAGCGGTGACACACTTCCTCCAACAAGATCACACCTACTCCAAGAAGACCACACCTCCTAATAGGGCCACTCCTTTTGGAGGTCATTCTCTTTCAAATCATCACACCCATTTCAATAGCAACCAACAGGCTCCCAGCACACAGGTGCACAGCTTGCTCTTCCTTCCAGCCTCCTGCAGACAGAGCCTTTCTGCCTTTCAGATGCCTTCCCCACCTAAGTGTCTTCTGCTGTTCTGTTTTGTTTTTTGGAACAGGATCTCACTATATGTAGCTCTGGCTGTCCTGGAACTTGCTATGTAGACCAGACTGATCTTGAACTTACAGAGTTCACCTATCTCTGTCTCCTGAGTGCTAGGACTAAAGGCGTGTGGAATCACACCTTCTGCCATCTATCTGTATGTCTCAACTTTTTCTTGACCTCACCCTTAGATTTGGGTACCTGGCTGACTGTGTCAGCCTGTTCTCTTTCTGCACACTGATGATGCTAATGTCAGCTCCATGGGGAGCAAAAACATGAGCTCCCTTTAGTCATGCAGTGACATCTTTAGGCATGTATGACTTCCGGGGTGACAAAGATAACTCACACTTTTCATGCAAAATCCAAGCAACACCGTGCGACGACAGACAGAACAAAGGAGTTCCTCCTGCCACTTCTACAGCTGCTCCTGGGGAAAATCAAGCCATGATGGAGCTCTCTGCCCCCCCCCTCGCTGATTGGAGTTGGGTATTTCACCACGAAAGCCCTAGACCTAGCAGTAGTAATAAGTACGTTCAGTCAGTAAACTTACCAAAGCATACAGGGACTTTATAGCCGTTGTTTCAGAGACTCTTCCCTACCACCTACCCCATTCTATTGAGAAGAGCTGTCCCAGAGAAGAGCTTCTCTTTGGTTGGCACAACATGATGAATTGAACCTATCATGTCAAGCCTAGCCTGAAAGCACCATTGGAAATAAATCCCTTAGGGAAAAAGCCACCCCAGCTCCACCTTCTACCTCCCCACCCTGGGGCTTGCTGTTTCGACATCTACCTCTAACTCATCTTTCTGTCTAGCTTGCAGGATTTGAATTAAGTAAGACGCAAACTTCCATCAGTCGGAAGACAAAACACACTAACACAGAGAGAAACCATCCAACGGCATATACCTCCCCTGAGAGACTGAAAAATCCGTATCGTAAATATAACAGACAAGATGAAATATATAGGTGTGTGCATGTTTTTGTACAAATTCTAACTCAGGCAGGAAGGACAGTATAGTCCCCGGTGAACTCCTTTTCTGAGGACCATCTTAACTCTGTTGAACAGGGAGCCGGGGTGCAGGTCGGTGGGGAAGTACTCCCTAATGTGTGTAGGTTCTAGCTTTGATCATGCAGTGGGTGTGGTGGGGTATTGCCTGGAGTCAGGTAGTAACCAGAAAATTCAGTGTTTTCTGAAATGGCTCAAGGAGCATGGGAAAAGAAATATGTTACATGCTTAGATTTTTGGTTTCATTTTTTTAAAAGATTTTACTTATTTCTTTATTATGTATATAGTGTTGGCATCAGAGCTCATTACAGATGGTTGTGAGACACCATGTGGTTGCTGGGAATTGAACTCAGGACCTCTGGAAGAACAGGCAGTGCTCTTAACCTCTGAGCCATCACAGCGACCAGAAAAGGGCATCTGATCCCCTGGAACCAGAATTACAGATAGCTGTGAATTGCCATCTGGGTGCTAGGAACAGAACTCAGGTCAGCAAGTGTGCTAAACCATCAGCATCTCTCCAGCGATGTACGTGTGCTAAACCATCAGCATCTCTTCCGTACAGCGATGTACGGAAGGGTGGCTTGCACAGGCCACGACACGTGTATGAAGTCCAGGCAATAGCTTTTTGGGTCATTTCTCTCCTCCTACCTCTACTTGGTTTCTGGAGGTCAAATTCAAAAGAGTACCGCGCGGCGAGTTCTTTGCCCACTGAGTTGGGCCACCTGATAAACCCTTGATTTTCTTTCAGCTTTGGAATCGTGCTCTGGGAGATTGTCACTAGAAAGATCCCATTCCAAGGTAAAGAACATGAAGGCTGGCCCTATTGGGGTTGTAGTTGGATCAACCTTCTGAGAGACCAGAAATTCCCCCTTAGTGCTGCCATAGCCACTTGGTTAATACAGGGATTCCTTGAACCGGTTAGTAGAGTCACTAAAAGCTCTGTTGTTTCTTTGTTTCCTTTCCTTTCCTTTCTTTTTTTTCCCCCATGTTTGAAGTCCCTTGTTCTAATCCTAGCTATCAATGTCCAGAGAGAAGTGAGTGAAAATGAAGCCACTCATCCTCTCTCTTCCATGGTAGGTTGTGATTCGAAGAAGATCTACGAGCTGGTAGCTGAGGGCCAGAAGCAGGAGCCAGTGGGTGAAGATTGCCCTAAGCTATTGCAGGAGATCATTGGCGAGTGCAGGGCCTATGAGCCCAAACAAAGGCCCTCTGTGGATGGTAGGATTCTTATGAGGAGTGGGTGGGTGGGGGTGGTAGAAGGGCAGGGCAGGGATGGGAGGAGAGGAGGGAGGGAAAACTGTGGTTGGTATGTAAAATAAATTTAAAATGATGAATAAAAAAAAAAGAATGCAAGCCACACATTTATTTCACAATTGTAAAAGTTGGGGGTTTTTTTGTTGTTGTTTTGTTTTTTTTTTTTTTCTTAAAGCTCCAGGAGAGAAATTCACACCCAGGGGTAATTCTGGGTGTACCCCTTCAGGGGACATTTAACGACTTCTGAAAGCAATTTTGGCTGTTGCAATTCAGGTCTAGGGGAGGCAGGGTGTGCATTCTTGGCATCTAATGGACAGAGGTTGGGATGCTATTCCTAGGACAGGGCTAGAGGTGTACCTCAGTGGTACTGTGTGTGACTCGTGGATGGAGCCCTGGGGTCACAGTCCCCAGCAGCACACACACAAAAGCTTAACATGGAGCCCTCAAGTGTATAGGACATCCCGCCACAAATAAGAATGATATAGCCCAGATGTCAGCAAGGCGGGGCCTCAGAGATGGAAGCAGGTTACTTTTCTCAGGCCTATTTCTTTATTTCCTCCCTCCCTCCCTTTTACTCCTTCTTTTTTCAGCATCCTTGGGATTATTTCTTTGACTTACTTAGATGTTTTCAAATACTTTTAAAAAATATTTATTCATTTATTTATTATGTATACAGTGTTCTGCCTGCATGTATGCTTGGATGACAGAAGAGGGCACCAGATCTCATTACAGATGGTTGTGAGCCACCAGATGGTTGCTGGGAATTGAACTCAGGACCTCTGGAAGAGCGGCCAGTGCTCTTAACCACTGAGCCATTTCTCCAACCCTGATTTAGCCTTTTGTAAGGTTTTTTTTTTTTTTGGTTTGGCTTGTTTTGTAGACAATATCTCACTGTACAGCTCTGGTTGTCCTGGAATTCCCTATGCAGAAGACCAGGCTGGCTTTGAACTCACAGAGATCCACTTGCCTCTGCCTCCCAAGTGCTAGAATTAAAGGTGTGCACCACACCTGGCTTATATACTTATTCATATGTGTGTGTGTGTGTGTGTGAGAGAGAGAGAGAGAGAGAGAGAGACAGATAGAGAAAGAGAGACAGAGACAGAGAGAGAGAGAGAGAGAGAGAGAGAGACCCTCAAGAGGGCATCAGCTGTCTTTTATGCATCTTCACCTGTTGAGAGCTGAACTGATTCAAGGCTTTCCCTGAGGTTTGGAGGACGACAATTCCTTCTCTAAAGCAAGGAGTAAACCAGGCGGTGGTGGCGCGTGTCTTTAATCCCAGCACTCAGGAGGCAGAGGCAGGCAGATCTCTGTGAGTTCAAGACCAGCCTGGTCTACAGAATAAGTTCCAAGACTGGCTCCATAGTTACTGAGAATCCCTGCCTCAAAAAACCAAAAATATAATATAAATAATATAATATCATATCATAAACATAATAACCAGAAATATTCTTTATAGAGTGGGTAATGGCCTGTGGCTTGGGCCTTGGGAGAGCTGAGGTTTCAGATTCTAAGAACCCAACTCTTCCCAGTGTACAGGCCTCTGGTTATCATTCTCAAGCTTCTGTGTGCTTGGTCTGTAATGTTCTTGAGATATTCCTTGTGCAACGTTACTTGATTAACTTCTTGTTGACTTTGTCTCACTGTATGATAGCTGCTGACTCTGTCCCATGTCTCCCCTGGAAACAACATATAAGATGCCGTACTACTTAATAAGCTTCCTTGGCATAAGACATAGCTTACGCAAGCCCTCCCACTCCCAAACTTTGGTATCTTCTCTACTTTCTATTCTCTTTTCATCTGATCTCCTGGTCCTCTCTCTCAATACCCTGTCACCAAAGAATGACTAGGTCATTCACTTTTTCTTTTTGAGGCAGGGTCTGTTCTTGAGCCTGGGGGCTTCATTTTCTCAGCTAGCCTGAAAAGCCATCAAACCTCAGTAATCCTTTTGTCTGTGACCCCCTTGGAGTTGGGGTTACAAATGTTTCAAGATTATAGGCACACACATGATGCCTCATTTGGGATTTAGGTTTTCATAGGTGGTGTTTTAGGAGTCTGTGTGTGCAACAGTTTATGCACCAGCCAGACAAACAGCTTCTGTGTATTTTCTATTGTAGACATGCGTTTGTGTTTCTAGCTTGGCTGTCAGTAACTTGCTCTTGTCTCACTTTCTGTTCATTCCTTCATAGAAATCTTAGAGAGACTGTCTGCAATTAACTGAGGTGTGTGTGCAAACCTAAACGGAAGACTCCCTGGACAAGAAGCTGGAAGAGAAACAAACTGGACATTTGTCTTTCATATCTGTTAGTATCAAGTTTTGCTAGGTGCAAAACTTTTTTTTTTCAAAATGTAGTCTCACCATGTAGCCCCTGTTAGCTTGGAACTGGCTATATAGAACAGACCGAGTTCAAACTGAAAGAAATCTTCTAGTTTTGCCTCCTCAATGTTGGGATTAAGGGCATGGGCCACCACACCTGGCAAAGTTCTTATTTGTTACAAATAGAAAGCAACTCCATGGGGCTGGAGAGATGGCTCAGCAGTTAGGAGTACCGGTTGTTCTCCCAGAGGACCCAGGTTCAATCCCCAGCACCCACATCACAGTTCACAAGTCCTGTTCCAGAGAATCTGACACCGCATACAGATACGCATGCAGGCAAAATACCAATGCACATAAAATAAATTATTAAGAAAAAAAGATTAGAAAGAAAGAAAACAATTCCAGCCTAAAGTGGTAGCACATGCCTTTTATCCAGCACTTGGGAGGCAGAGACAGGTGGATCTCTGTTTGAGGCTAGCCGTTTACATAGCAACTTCCAGAACAACCTGGATTGCATACAGAGACCGGTTTCAAAAAACAAACAAACAAGCCGGGCGATGGTGGCGCACGCCTTTAATCCCAGCACTCGGGAGGCAGAGGCAGGCAGATCTCCGTGAGTTCGAGACCAGCCTGGTCTACAGAGCAAGTTCCAGGACAGGCTCCAAAGACACAGAGAAACCCTGTCTCGAAAAAAACCAAAAAAAAAATTAAAAAAAATTAAAAAATAAACAAACAAACAACAACAACAACAAAACCAATTCCAGCTATAAAGAATTCCCAGTATTTCTAAAACTATATTGCTAAGATTAACTGCAGATTATTTACGAAAGTTGGTAAATGGTTTTATGTCCATGGCTCTTTTCATGATTTGAGGGATCCTATCAAGAAATGGCCTCTATTTCCCCAGCATTTGAATCTGAGCCGGCTAATGGCTTGATTGTTTCAACGGCATGTGGAAGAAGGAACAGTGGACCACTTCCAAGTCTAGGCTTTAAAATATTCCCTCCCTCTTGTGAAACAGTGCCCACCTATGCACAAGAGTGGTAGGCATGCTGGTAGATGAGGAGGAGATACACAGAGTGGCGGCAAATGGTCCCATCTGAGTTCACGCTAAGCCAGCCAGCCAGTCAGCCTGGCAATTGACCCAGTTGCATGAGGAAGCCCAGTTAAGATCAAAGAGCTACCCAGCTGAGCCTACCCCACTGCCAATTTACAAAAACATGAGCTCAATAAGTATATCTCTGTCTTAAGCCGCTAAGTTTTGGGGTGTTTGCTACACAACGGTAGTAATAGTGAACCCTGCACAACCCTTCCCTTTGACCACTGAACTAAATACAAAACTTGCTGTTTGGATGTCCATGGCCTGGCCTCTGATCACATCTGACTTTGTACATCAGGTCCCAGAGATCTCCATATTGTTGTGATCTAGGGACCAGTGATGTTGTTCAGTGATGTTGTTGTACAGAGTACTTGTACAAAGCCCTGTGTTTGATGCCCAAAAATCCACCTAGTGGTAGGTAAGGCAGAAAGATTAAAAGTTAAGTCATCACCTGGTGGTGGTGGCACACACCGTTAATCCCAGCACTCAGGAGGCAGAGGCAGGCGGATGTCTATGTGTGTGAGGCCAGCCTGGTCTACAGAGATAGTTCCAGGACAGCTAGGGCTGTTACATAGAGAAACCCTGTCTCAAAAAACAAGACAAAACAAAACAAAACTTTCAGTCATCACTGGAAGGTGGTGGTGCACACCTTCAATCCCAGCCCTTAGGAGGTAGAGGCAGGAGGATCTTTGTGAGTTCCAAGCCAGTCTAGTTTGGCTGGTCTACAGAGTGAGTTCTGTTCTTCTGTCCTTCTACAGAGGACAGCCAAGGCTACACGGAGAAAACATATCTGGAAAAACACACACAGCCAGGCGGTGGTGGCACATGCCTTTAATCCCAGCACTCGGGAGGCAGAGGCAGGCAGATCTCTGGGAGTTCGAGGCCAGCCTGGTCTACAAGAGCTAGCTCCAGGACAGGCTCCAAAGCTACAGAGAAACCCTGTCTCGAAAAACAAAACAAAACAAAAAAAATAGAAAAACACAAAACAAAACAAAAAAGTTTAATCATCTTCAGCTACATAGTAAAAATGAGGTCCCACAATGACCAGGATCAGGACAGCTAAGAACAGCATACCTCGGAGCTGGTAATTTAGAGACCCAGGCTGTTTGTTTCTACCGCTTAGAGCAATAAGTGTAAACTTCAGCCCTAGGCCCATAGAAACTGCAGCATCTGGTGAATGTGCTAATCAGATCAGAAGCCATTAGCTTCCCTCCTGACTGTTTACATAGGTTGTTGCCTGGTTACCAGGTGTCCTCTGTGCAGGCTGGGAGAAAAGGTGTGCACCACCACTATCCAGCTTGATGGGGTTTTAAAAAGGATTTATTTTCATTATTTCTATTTATGTGTAGGGGTGTGTGTGTGTGTCTGCATGTGGGCACATACATGACACCGTAGTTTCCTTCAGAGATCATCAGAGGTATCAGATCCCCTGGAGCTGGAATTACAAACAGGAGATGTCTTACATAGATGCTGGAAAACAAAGTGAAGAGAAGCAAGAGGTCTTAGCCACTGCCTTAGGGTTTCTATTGCTGCAAAGAGACACTGTGACCATGGAAACTCTTACAAAGGAAAACACTGAATGGGCTGTCTTACAGCTTCAGATGTTTAGTCCATTGTCATCATGGTGGGACAAGGAAACATGCAAGCAGACATGGTACTGAAGCTGAGAGTCCTACCTCTTTATCTGCAGGCGACAGGAAGTGGTGTGAGACACTGGGCGTGGCTTGATCTTATAGGAGACCACAAAGTCCACTTCCACAGTGACACAGTTCCTCAAACAAATTCATTCTAGTCCAACAAAAGTCTTACCTCCTAATAATGCTACTCTCTATGAGCTGATGGGGACCAATTACATTCAAACTACCACAATCACTAAGTAATCTCTCCAGTCTCTTGTTTTTGTTTTTTAGGACAGGTTCTTACTCTGTAGCCCAGACTGTCCTGAAACTCACTACTACCCAGGCTTATTCTAGTTGATCCTACTGTTTTAGTTTCCTGAATGCCAGGATGATAGGGGTGCACTAACACAAAACACCACGGCACATAAAATATAAATAAATAAAAGTTGGTACTGACCTTGGTAACAAGTTTAGAGAAGAAAATATACAAAGTATCTATTATTTATATTGTCCTCTACCAATTTTACTAAAAATTGGCTGCTGAATTAATAAACTAAAAATGCGGCAATGTAATCTGTGCCTGAAGTTTTGATTTTAAAAACATAGCTGGGTGGTGGTGGCGCCCGCCTTTAATCCCAGCACTCAGGAGGCAGAGGCAAACGGATATCTCCAGCCTGGTCTATAGAGCTATTACAATTTCAGAAACATCTTTGAAGAATCTTATGTGATGACTTATACTTCCAAGAAATTTTATTGGAGTAATTTAAAGTTGAAGAAACTGTACAAATTCTTTTTTTTTTTTTTTGTCCATTGAAGACAAGCTGCCCAACCCTGTATGAGAAAAAAATGAACTGAGTTGTCTCGTGGCTCTTACGGACTCCAGAATTCTGGGGACAACATTATCAATGATATCATTGATAAACTACTATATTATTTAATGAAGTCTTAGAGAAAAGCAGAGGACGTCACTTTTTAAAAATAATATTGATTATGTACACGGTGTTGGCATCAGCTCTCATATAGATGGCTGTGAGCAGCCGTGTAGTTGCTGGGAATTGAACTCAGGACCTCTGGAAGAACAGTCAGTGCTCTTAATCTCTGAGTCATCCTTCCAGCCCGAGGAAGGAGGGGCTGGAGAGATACCCACATGGCAGCTTTCAGCTGTCTGTAACTCCAGTTCCAGAAGATCTGATACCCTCACACAGAGCATCCGTGCAGGCAAAACACCAATGAATGCTCGTAAAATAAAAATAAATTATAGAAAAGGAGGAGGAGGAGAGGAATAAGAAAAGAAGAAAAACGGATGAGGAACTCTCTTCCTCGGGTCTTCTTCCGGCTAGACGTTTCAAATAAATGCAAAACAGCTGAGGAAAAAAAAAAGAAAGAAAATGCTCATGCTCTACCGTACAGGGGCGGGGCGCGAGATGACGGACATGGATTTCTACCAATTATAGGAGCATTTTTTCGCACGAGGTTCTCGCCAAGCTAGTATCAAGAGCTGGCCAATGAGAGAGCCACTAGTTCAGCCAACGCCGACCAATGGAAGAAGAAGAAATAGTATTGGTCGCCGCCTTCGGGGACTGACCAATAGGAGCTCGCTGAACCTTGGCTCGAACGGGGCGCTCGAGGAGTCCGAAGAGTTGTTTGGCGCCGGCGGGCGCCGAGTTTTGCGCGGCAACGACAGCAGAAGTCGCAATCGGTCAGAGCGTCCGACCTGGTTCCTGTAGTTTAAGGTGAGGCAGGTACCTGCGTCTCCTTAGCCCGGGGCCTCTGGGTGCGGATCATCTTCCCTTGGCCTGTGTCTGGTCGCGGGGCCTAGTCCGGTTGGCTGAAGGCGGGTTGCGCACTCTGCGGTGTCCTTCGACCAGGGCTGGGGACCTCGGACTTTCTTCCTTGCGTCTCGAGGAATGTGGGGGGTCTGGGGCGAGAAAGGCGGAGACGACGAGCTCTCCGGAAGGAACTGAAGCGGGGTTCCGCTTGCGCGTTTGGGGGCCCCATGCGGCATAGTTCTCCAGGTGCCTCCGGTGCGCTCGAGCGCCAGGTTCTCTTTGGCCCTTGTCTCTCGCTGTGTTACAGAACTGCAATTTTACCAGGCCAACCGAGCTGTGACGTGTGTATTCTCGTTATCTCGTGGCTGCGGGTGAGCAGACTTGGACAGACAAGTTAGGAAACTTTAGGTTTTCCAGAAACTAAAAGGGGGAGCCTGGATCAGACTGAATCCCCACCGACTCCAGACGCCCTGTTTATTGGGGGTCGTCGCCCCCGCCTTCTGGTTCTGAAGCTTCCTTGTAAGATGGCAGATGTGAAGTTCACCTTTTGAGGGCCGCTGACATTTCGTGGCCATCACGCTAGCGTTTTTTGTTTTTTGTTTGTTTTGTGTGTGTGTGTGTGTGTTGTGACGTGCTGAGGGTAAAGAAGAGGCGGCGGGCAAGTGGTTTTGTTTCAGACAAAATCCTGGGTTCGTGCATAGGATTTGGGAATGGTTGTGTTTATTGCTTTCTTCCTACGCGATTAAGTTAGCTAACTTAATTGTAAACTTTAAATAGCCGCCTGTAAAAAGTGGTCTTCGGAGGGGACTCTCGTGTGTCCCTCGAGT